GATGCCCTTCTCCAGGGACTTGTCCCTCCTGATAATATGTTCAAAGTATGAGATGAAGTCTGGGTATCCTGGCTTCTAAGGAGCACTGTGGTTGTACTTCTTCCAACACAGATTTGTCTGTTCGTCTGGCACTCCATGGTACTTTTGTTGTTGTTGTTGAGTGCTTTCTTTTCTTTTTTTTTTGGTTTTGCTGTTTTTTTGTTTTTTTAATGTTTTATTGTGAATTATGTGATAGTTTACATGGGAGGACATTAGTTTTACATTCATTCTATCATATATTGTCTCTCATTGCCGTGGTTACAATCCCCTCCATGCAATCCTTCCCCCGTACCCCCCAGGTCTTCAGCACACAGTCGCTCTCCCTCTCTGGATCTAAAGTCTATCACTCCACGTCATCATCTCTGGCTCCATTTCAGGCATCACTGCTTCTCTAGGTAGGGTCCCGCTCTCTGCTCTTCTCCCTTGATGGTCCTAGGGACCTCCACTCCTAGACTGAAAAGTTAATCACTCCCCTTCTTGCTATAAAATGTCTACCTTTACATTTCCAACCCTCACAATCAGTCCTGATAACAATTATTCAATATTGTATCACAAGAGACCTGTCTGCATTTCATTGCATCAACCCCGCCTAGACAGATTGAATACTACTCACTGGAGATTCTACCTTCCTCCGTGCCCTTTGGATCTAGGTTCCCTCTTGAAAGCTTGTAAGCCAGTCACTTCTTGCCTTTGTAGCCCCCCATCCCTAGTTCCATTTTGGGTAGCCTCTCCATGGTACTTTTAATATTCTTCTCTAACAGCGTAACTCAAATGCCTCAATACTTGTACGGTTTTCCTTATTCATTGTCCAACTTTCACATGCATATAAGACTTCTGAAAATACTATGGCTTGGATCAGGCACACCTTAGTCCTCAAACTGACATCTTTGCCCTTGAAAACTTTAAAGAGGTCTTGTTCAGCAAATTTACCTAATGCAATGTGTCATTTGATTTCTTGACTGCTGCTTCCATTGAGTGTTGATAGTGAAGCCAAGCAAAATGAATTCTTTGATGTCAATTTTTTCTCCTTTTATCATGTTGTTTATTGGTCCAGTGGTGAGGATTTTTCTTTTTTTTACACTGATGTGCAACTCATACCAAAGGCTGTGATGTTTGATCTTCATCAGCAAGTATTTTAAGTCCTCTTTGCTTTCAGCAAGTAAGGTTGTATCATCTACATATCATTGGTTATTAATGTTTTCCTCCAATCCTGATGCCACGTTCTTCTTCATATAATCTATTTTCTCAGCATACAGATTGAATAAGTATAGTGAAAGAATACATCGCTGACACACACATTTCCTGATGTTAAACCATTCAATATCCCACTATTCTGTTTGAATGACTACCTCTTGGTCTATGTACAGGTTCCGGAGCACAATTAAGTGTTCCAGAATACATAATCCACAAAGTCGAAAGCCTTTGCATAGTAAAAAAGCACAGCTATCTTTCTGGTATTCTTTGCTTTCAGCCAAGATCTATCTGCTGTCAGCAATGATAGCCCTTGCTTCATGTCCTGGTCTGAATATGGCTTTAACCTTCGACAGTGCCCTGTCGATGTACTTTAACAGCCATTTTTGAATCATCTTTAGAAAATTTTTACTTTCATTTTATATTAATGATATTGTCCAAAGATTTCCACATTCCATTGGGTCACCTGTTTTTGGAATGGGCACAAATACCTCTTCCAATTAGTTGGTCAGGTAGCTGTCTTCCAAATTTCTTGATATAGATAAATCAGTGCCTCAAGTGCTACATCAGTTTGCTGAAAGATTTAAATTTGTTTTCTGTCAGTTCCTGGAGCCTTGTTTTTCAACAATGCCTTCAGAGCATCTTGGACTTCTTTCTTCAGCACCATAGGCTCTAGATCATATGCTACCTCTTGAGATGGTTGAACACAGACCATTTCTTTTTTGTACAGTGACTCTGTGTCTCCCTTCCATTTTTGATGCTTTCTGCATCATTCAGTATTTTGCCACAGCATCCTTCAGGCTTGATTTTTTCCCTTAGTTCTTCCAGCTTGAGAAATGCTGAGAGTGTTCTTCCTTTTTGATTTTGTAATTCCAGGGCTTTGCACATTTCATTATACTTGACTTTGTATTCTCAAATTGCCCTTTGAAATTTTCTGTTCAGCTCTTGTACCGCCTCACTTCTGCCATTTGCTTTAGCATCTCTATGCTGGAGAGCAAGTTTCAGTCTCTTCTAACTTCTGTTTTTGTCTTTTCTTTCTTGTCCTCTTTATATATGACGTTCATGATGTCATCCCACAACTCTTCTGGTTTTTTAACATTAGTGTCTAATGCATCAAATCTGTTCTTGAGATCTCTTAAATTCAGGTGATATATATTTAAGATAGTATTTTGGCTCTTGTGGACTTTCTCTTCAGCTTCAACTTGAACCTGCATATGAGCAATTGAAGGTCTGTTCCACGGTCTGCTCTGGCCTTGTTTTGACTGATATGAAGCTTTTAGGAGTCCTGATGTGGCACTGTAGGATAAGCACTGGACCATAACGTCAGTAGGAGCTGCAAGGACTGTGTGTGGCTCACACCCACCGGGTCATCATGCTTAGTAAAATGGAGGGTTATTGATAAAGAGGAAGACCCCCAATGAGATGCACTGGCACAGTGGCAGCTGCAATGGGCTCAAGTGTAGCAATAATTGTGAGGTTTGTGCAGGACCCAGCAGTGTTTTGTTCTGCTGTGCATCATTTTGCTCTGAGTGGTACCGACTTGAGGGCACCTAACTACAATATAGATCTATTAAACTGATTAGAAGTCTGGCATAAAATGACTTTCCTCACAAGTCTCAGTGACTTAAGACAAAAAAACAAACAAACAAACACAAAGAGTACTGGAAAAGCCAGAAATACCAGTCGCTATTTTCTGTATGTGTGGGAGAGAGATGAGGCCCTCTCTTCCTGAAAAGGTTCAGTCTCAGAAACCCCAAGGAGCAGTCCTACTCTGTCCTATAAGATCACTGAGTAGGAATTGATTCAAACAGCAGATTTTGAAATCAGTACGATCTGCAGGTATACGTTGGCGATACTACAGGTTTGGTTTTGATCACAATTCACAAAAAAAGTAACTATAGCAAAAAAGTGACTCAAGTTTTTTGTTTCTGGTGCATGCAAAAGCTTTGCTTACAGTATACTGTAATGTAAAACAAAAAATCCTCACCACTGGACCAATAAACAACATTCTTACTAATGGAGAAAAGAGCGAAGTTGTCAAGGACTTCATTCTTCTTGGATCAACGATCAACACTCATGGAAGCAGCAGTCAAATCAAATGACGTATTGCATTAGGCAAATCTGCTGCACAAGACCTTTTTTAAAGTGTTGAAGAGCAAAGATGTCAGCTTGAGGACTAAGGTGCGCCTGACTCAAGCCATGGTATTTTCAATAACCTATGTCATATGCATGCGAAAGCTGGACAGTGAATAACAAAGACCATAGAAGAACTGGTGCTTTTGAGTTATGGTTTTGGAGAATATTGAAAGTGCCATGGGCTGCCAAAAGAACAAACAGATCTGTGTTGGAAGAAGTGCAGCCAGAGTGTTCCTTGGAGGCCAGAATGGCCACACTTCATGTCTCACACTTCGGACATATTGTCAGGAGGGACCAGTCGCTGGAGAAGGATATCATGTTTGGTATGGTGGAGGGTCAGAGAAAAAGAGGAAGACCCCCAGCAAGATGGACTAGCAAAGTGGGCTCAAGTACGCCAACAATTGTGAGTTGTGAGGTTGGCCCAGGACTGGACAGTGTTTTGTTCTGTTGTGGATAGGGTCGCTATGAGTCAGTACTGACTCGATGGCACCTAACAACAACACCATAGTGTAGTGTGCAGTAGCATTATGTAAGTTTGAAATATTGTGAAAGTTATCAAACTGTGACACAGACACACAAAGTGAGCTGTTAGAAAAATGGCACCAACAGACTTGCCTGAAGCAAGGTTGTCACAAACTTTTTATAAAAATTTATAAAATGTTTTAAAATTATAAAAATCGTAGTATCTGCATGTGAGGCACAATAAAACAAGTTCTCTATGTGCCAAAGACTGGGGTAACTGAGATAAAATAGGTCCTGCTTACTTTCCAGCCAGATCTCATGGCAGGATGGCTCACCTTACCATCAGATAAGCAGGTTTGAGTTTCATCTTTTATCCCTTCTCTTTTCCCTTTCAGTGGATTTTTCAGGCCAATATTGCAAGCCCTAAGAGGCTATCTTCATAAACAACTCAGTTTATTTACAGTAGAAATTTTACTGCCAAATAAAAACAACAATAGGCATTAACAAAGAGCTTTATTTGCATACACTGCCCTAGTTTTCTCTAGCTGTGGTGAATAGAATTTGTTTCTCTACAATCCTTGATTGCACAATTGTTGGACTTAGCCATAGTCACAAATTTATCACCATAAGAAGTAAACAAGTAGCTTTTTTTATAAAGTCCACTGGGCACACCAAGGAAAACTCTCTGGCCCCTTCTATCTTCCGCCCTTTTTCTCCGCTCTCTTGGTGTCTCCACTAAACGGGAAAGGATCCAGGCAGAAGGCTGAATCACACCACTACTCTTAGGCTATGCTACCCACTTCCTTGGATCCCTGTAGAGGGAAGAAGAAGAATCTATCTTCCTTTTCCCCAAAATGGAGGGCCTGAAAACCAACCAACATTTCAAACACAAACAAAATAAAACCAGAAGCAGAAGCAAACCAATATTGGGAGCACAGTTGTTTTTCATACGCTTTCATTTTCATCACTCCATTATAGTATAGCCATCCCATGATGTGTCTCATCTTTCACAATGGTAGTGAGAAACCAAACTGAAAAAGGGAAAAAATAAATCTATCCCTAGCAAAAATGTGCCTGTCATAACTCCAGTGAGATGAGTATCAGTTGCCATTCTCATCCACTCAGTACCCAATCTCTGCCCACACCCTCCTTTCTAGACACTTTGAAGGGTCTTAGGGCTGGAGCAGCTTCGGCTTCTCGGCTGGCAGTCTGGGCTGACACTGTGGACACCACCAGGTGAGCCTCTGGAATCCATGTGGAGGTCCAAACGTGTCCTTCATGACTTGGTGCCCAAAAGGGCACTGCTCCTTCTGATAGATCTGAGTATGTTGCTGTTTTCCCTGGAGCTTGCCCTGAAGCCAGTCAGTACTGAACGCCACCACATGATCCACTAGGGACTCAAGACTCGAAGGACTTAAGAGGGAACCAAGAGAAAGGGGATGGACCCCTGCTCTGTACAAGGCTTCATTCTTAATGATATTGCCTGAAATGAAAAAGAGGAAAAGAAATAAGGAAAGGAAAAAAGACACACAACATAGTGTACTTAAAAAACCAAAAAAAGCAATAAAGCAAACTTAAGCGTGTACGATGGCAACAGAGTACTGTTATCAGGAAGACCCTGGAATCAATTCAGCCTTGAACTATGAGATCTTGAGCAAGTCATTTAATTTCTGAGTTAATTTCCCAGTCTGTAAAATACACCTGATAATACTTACCTTTAAGGTTGTTGTGAAGATGAAATAAAACTCACAGTTCATGTTATAGCAAAGTGGTTATAAAAATAAAAGCTGTGGAATCTGAATGCAGGATGTGAATCCCAGTTCAACGAGATGCTAGCTATGCATCCTTGGCAAGTTCCTCATCTATAAAATAGGGACTTGTTGTTAAGTGCCGTCGAGTCAGTTTCAACCCCGTATCATGTTTGTGGCACTGTGTGCTAATGTGTCAGTCTGCAAAGTTGTTTAAACTGCAAGGTCGATGGTTCAAGCTCACCAGTTGCTCCTTGGAAATCCTACACAGGGTCGCTATGGGTCAAAATCGACTCGAAGACACTTAACAACAACAAAAATATTTTCTGAAGCAGAAAGCCTTATCTTTCTCCCAGGGAGTGGCTGGTGAGCTCGAACCACCAACCTACAGTCCACAGTGCCGTACTTAACATATGGAGCGTCTGCACTCCCAAAACAGGGACAGCATAAAAGGGAATTCACACACACACACACACACACAAATGCTGAGTACAGTGACTGATATACAGAGAGTGCTCAATTGTTAAGTGCCATCGAGTCGGTTCTGACTCATAGCAAGCCTGTATAAGGTTTCAGAGACTTCAAATCTTTGCAGGAGCAGAAAGCCTCATCTTTTTCCCACAGAGCAGCTGGTGGGCTCAAACTGTGAACCTTATGGTGTGCAGTCCTATGCTTATCATTCAACACTAGCTGTATTCAACACTAGCTGTTATTATTATTTAAAAGCCTGACATACAGTATTGTTTTTCTATAGCCTCACTCTCTATGAAATTAATCTAATTCTCTCCTACCAGAATCACTCTTCAGAATATTCCAACAGTGCCTTTTCTTTAACTAATTTAGTATGCATATATCATAATCTCTCTTAATCATGATTGACTTATTTTTTGTTAAAAGCACATGTTTTTTCTCCAATGTAGAATACATTCTAAATCATTGAGTCTCTTTACATGTCCTGGTGTGGCATTGTGGGTTAACGAGCTGGACTACAAAGTTGGCTTGAACCACAAGGCTGGCAGTTCAAGCTTACCAGCTGCCCCTAGGGAACCCTATGCAGGGTCACTATGAGTCAGAACTGATTTGACGGCACTTACAGTAACAATATGGATTTTGATAAATATTATATGAAACATACACGTTCCACTAAACTTTGGAGGTGGAATTGGTGGGAGAGGGCAGAAAGAGAAAAAAAACTTTATCACAGCAATTTCATTTTTATTCTGAGAAACTTAAAAAACACATTTTAACTTAAAACTTAAATTTAAAAACTTAAAAACACATTTATTCTGGGAAACTGGGAAACCTAAAAAAGGCACCGTGCCATGGCTGTACATAATTGTTGTTCAAGTTTTCCTAGTCCACCGTTTCTCTGCATTACCTTCTAGATCCCTTGGGCAGGTAAATGCTTTTCAAACTGTTAAAAATGTAAAACCATTTGGCATTCCACTTCTCCTGGCTTCATCTACACAAGAAGTCTTCCTCTGCTTGTGATTTATGGTCTAGGTTAGAGTAAGCCTGAAGGAAAGTTGGTCACATCTGCTCCCACTGTTGACAGTTTCATATTGTGAAACTGTTTGCAGTGCCAAGGTCAGGAAGAAAATACAGCAATCAAGGCCATCATGTGAAAAAATGCCTCTGGACAAAGTGGTTCACTCCTCTCATTATTGTGTTGTATTCTGCAACTGCTCTGGGGCAAGGGGTTACTGAGGAGCAACTATTTTTGTTCGTTCTTTTGACATTAGTGATGGCCTTGGGACTGTGTGACATTAACAAAACTGTCACAGGTTCAGTGTTCTGCCACTTTACTCTGGACACACATCCTTTTGTAAAAAATAAGAAGTCTTGCCAGTCTAATTTATCTTTCCTCTTCATCATTTCTGGTAGCCATTTTCTATTCACTCTATCTGACGGTACATGCCATGCCTACCACTTTTCATCAAGTGGTAGGAGGAGAACACATTGTGGAAGACAATGAGCCTATGAGAATGGTTACGTGAATGGCACAGTCCAACACTGTCACTGAGGGAGAGATATGAGTGATTGTCTGCCATCTTTTTGTCTAGACAAGATCTCAAACTAACTTGCAAAGTTAGTTCGTGAGTCAGCCAAGCACCACACTTTGTAACCTGTGCTTGCAGGCTTCACTGGTAGGTACTGTTTTATTGATGAATGACCTCTGAATGGTACTATGCTCTCCCTCAATGGCCATGATACTTGATGGCACATATACCTCTTTTAGGTGACAAATGAGAGCACTGGTAACTGTGTGCAGTTTGTGAAGCTGGTTCATAGCCATGTGCTACACGTTGGGGTTTCTAGAGAAGAAAACCAGTGAAACATATATATACATACGTATGTCAAGAAGTTTATTATCAAGGAAATGGCTTACAATTTTAATTAAAAGTGCCAGGTCACCATATTCGGAGCAGGCCACACACCCATGGAAATATTCTTTCAACTAATTGGCTGCTTATAGTTAATCATCATAGAGTTAACTATGCCTGTAACAGTTTTCATCACCATGGATATAAGCACATCTCAACTGCTAAACCACTGGAAATCCTGCCTTAATCAAGATGACACAGAGCTCTCTTCATGCATGGCACTGAATTGCCATTGCAGTATATTGTTTCAGTCAGTCTCTTGAATTTTGTTTTAGTCATCCGTTCAGAAACACAGCTAACTCCCAAGAGAGGGTCACTGAGCCAATAATGTGAAACATGTATACCGAGGGGAGGCTGCAAAATGGTGGACTAGGCAGTAATGCTGTACAGACTCTACAATAAAGAAAAACCGAATGAAACAGATGCAAATGCTAGTTCTGAAACCCTGAGCTCCAGAAGAAGGGATAGAGAAGTGAACTGAAAGCTTACCACAAGAAGTTGAATAGACGCAGCAAAAAAGAGACAGAATGGTGACCTGTGCTGGATGATGTAGTGTGGCCATCTTAAAACTTGTAATTTCAGACATAAGACAGCATATCGGTATTGTAGAAACAAACTGGTAACTCACAGAGATAGAGGTGTGATTTTTTTTCTTCTTCCCCACACTCCTTTAGTAACCAGAAGCATGGCTGGCCCCCACCCATGTACACCCTCAGCCAAGTTCCTGCTCTCCTGGTGATCAGAGGCACACAATTGTGAGTAGCGCAGTTGTGAGCCCCATCAAAGTGAGTCGGGAGCTATCCACACCAGCCCCCGTACCTGGACTCAGGGGAGCCCTGCACTAAACCTGGAGAGTTGGCTCTGGTTAGCCTAGACTAGCCCTAACTAGGAGAAGTACCTGAAGAGACATGTGATTGGGGGGCTGGAGGAAGGGAAGAGTGGGTTTGTGGGGAAAAAAAAGGAAGGAAGTTATCTGTGCCAGCAGCCTAGACAGCACAGCCATCTTGAACTTGCGTGAGCAGTTCTGAAGGCAGAAGGCAGAGAGAAAGGTGAGAAAAATTTTCTTGTACCCCTCATTTCCCTAACATCCAGAGGCATGGCCAGCCTGCACTCTCATATACCCCCAGCGAAGTTCCTGATCTCCGGGTAGTAGGAACTGCATCAGAGAGAGCTGGAAGATAGCTGCACCAATCCCAGCAGCTGGAATCTAGAATGGCCAGTTCCAGATCTACACAACTGGTCTGGCAAGTCCTGGACTAGCAGGATTGGTCACCCTAGGTTACACTATGAGATGCTTAGGGTCTGTACAAACTACCTCCAGATTGGGTGCCCAGAACAGACAACACCTAGCCCTCCAGGAACTCCATCTAGGGTTAGAAGTGTTACCATCTCATCCCTTACCTACCTACCCTGTGAGGTCCTTGGCTGGCAGCAGACATCAGAATTTCCTCCTCTCTGGGTCTGGCACCTGGTCTGGTTTTTTACCTTTTGTTGTTTTTGTTTCTTCTTTTTTCCCATTCTTCCTCTCTTTACCTTCCCTTGTTTTTTATCCTATCTCTGCTTTCACTTTTTCTTTTCTGCTTGTCTTTCCCTATGCACTGCAGCTTCTTTCTTTTTAATTTTTTTTCTCTTGATTTTCTTTACTCTCAGGTCTCTTTTTCTTTTACTCAACCCTCTCCCTAAGTCTGTTTAGTTCTTTTTCTTTCTCTTAATTTTCTTTTCCATAATTTTTTTCCCTCTCCCTCTTTTCTCTCTTTGGTTTTTGTATTCTTTTTCTAGATATTACCTGCCTTTTTTTCATTCTTTACTATTTTCTTTTTATGCTGTTGTTTGCTTATTTATTTTCCATCTTTCTTGTCTATGTGTTTTTTCTTCTTGCCTCACCTGATATAGAAGAGCAGCCATATCTATACAGTCCAGCCAAAACCATACCTCTAAAGCCCCACCCCCAAGACAAGAGCCAGTAACAGCTGCCAAACACCTTATCAACATCAACCAACATCATCCTAAACAGTTGCACAAACAACGAACAGAGAACTGTGCACATGCTTCCATCTGCCAATCACTTACCAGGAAGCAGTTGGTGAGTGCCTAAGAATATACCAACATACAATCATCAATTTAATACCAATAAAGTGATACCAGAATGTCACAGAAGACGCAGACAATTCCTGTTCATATGAAGAAACAAGATACAGTGATTCAAACAAGTGACCAGAGGAAGATCTAGAAAAGGTATTTAAGAAAAACAGGCATTGTAACTATTGGAAAAAGAATTCCAGAGACTAATATTTAGATACTTCCAAATCATTGATGGATCCTGGTGTGGCACTGTAGTAGAAACACTATACTGCAATATTGGTTTTAACTGCAAGGTCAGCATTTCAAATTCACCAGCCGCCCCTTGGGAATCCTATACAGGGACACTGTGAGTCAGAACCGATACCACAGAACTTAACAACAACAATAAATGACTAAACAGTTCTGTTGTTGCTAAGTGCTGTCGAGTCAGTTCTGACCCACAGCAACCCTGTATAGAGTTTCTGAGGAATGGCTGGTGAACTTGACCTGCCAACCTTGTGGTTCAAACTGACCTTGCAGTCCAGTGCATTATCCTAGAGCACCACACCAGGATTCCAGTAGTAAAGCTGAAATTATGTACCTGACACATTTGACTCGCTTGACAAATACTGGCTGTCAAGACTTTTGTTAAATGCAGGGCATTAGCTCTTCCTATGTATACCCCAAGAGACAGTAGTAGAAGCCTCTTAGCTGCTAAGGGCACAGGTAGTCACTGGGGTAAGCAGTGCCTGCAGCAAGAATGGTCATGCCTTAGATAGAGAGGTGACTTTATTATCACCAACTCACCTAATTGTCTCAATAGTCAATTATGGTTGTACTAAATCCTCTGCTGTGGAAAGAAGAATGGCATGTTTGGCAGTTCAGCTAATCGCCCTATATATTTGTCAAATCGCACAGTTCTTCTCCCTACCTTCCAAAGGTAGTCAACATGCTATGAATTTCATGCTCAGAACACTTGAGCAAAGGGAGGGAGCCTGCTTCTTTACTCATGTCTTATAAGATCCTAGTGCAGATCTGAGACATATCTGTGCACTGACCAACAGAAAACTCCAGCTGTCCCAGAGTAGTAGTGTTCATTAGCAAAAGCATTTTTCTCCATTTGCAAGTTCATTACTTTCAGTCCCTACCAGACACTAATCAAGTGCCTCCTATGCCAGGTACTATGCTAGGCATTACAGGTCACAGGCGCACGAGATAGGACCCTGCCCTAAGGAGCTCTGGTAGCGTAGTGGTTACGAATCGGGCTGCGAACCTTAAGGCCAGCAGTTCGGAACTACCAGCAGCTCCGCGGGAGAAAGATGAGGCGTTCTGCTCCCGTAAAGATTTACAGCCTCGGAAACCCTGTACAGGGTCGCTATGGGTCGGAACCAACTTGATGGCACTTAACAACAACAACCACCTATGGTGCTGCAGGATCAGCTGCTAACTCCAAGGTTGGTGGTTCAAATCCACCAGCCACTCCTTGGAAATCCTATACAGACTCGCTATGAGTCAGAATTGACTCAATGGTAGTTAACAACAATAACAACAACAAATACAGCAGTCAGATAGGTTTTCAATGGATAATATAGAGTATGAATTCTATAGCCAGGAAATAAGATAGAAATTAATCATCCTAACTCCCAAAGTTTGAAAAGAAGAAAGTGAAGCAAAAGCAATGAGGCGATCTAACTTTAAATTGTACAGGTAGACTTTGGGCCAGATCTCACAACCAATTGCTTTTGAGTCCATAACAACTCATGAGAACCCATGTGTGTCAGAGTAGAACTATACTCCAGGGTTTTCAATGGCTGAGTTTTCAGAAGGAGATTGTCAGGCCTTTCTTTCAAGGCACCTTTGTGTGGACTCAAACCTCTAACCTTTCAGACAGTAGCCAAAGTCATTAATGGTTTGCACCATGCCGGGGTTCCTGTGATTCACAGACAGGTGACTTTTCTACTGAACAGCTCTATGAGGTTCATCCTTTTCTCCTTGGTCATACCTAAACCTGAAAAGTATCTTTGGTCCAGTAACGTATAGCAGACAGGCTTCGCCTGGCCCAAAGCTTCCAAGGCTTGTCCTCGATGAAATTTTTCAGACAAGATGTCAGAGATGGGTTTCACCACTGGGGAAGAGCTCCAAGACATCTGACAATTATAAAATGCCAGGAAACCACCACCATCAAAATGTAGGACCAATCTGAAAAGAAAGAAAGAATATGTATACACACAATCACCACAATATAGTCAAATTATAGAAACATAACTTCTACAGCATAGTCAGATCATACGTACATAAACCTCCCACAGTATAAAAAGCAAACCCAGAGGCGTGGAGTCGATTCCAAAGCACAGGTACCCTACGCAGGGTTTCCAAGACTAAATCCTTATGGAAGCAGACAGCTTATCTTTCTTGGGAGAAGTGGCTGGTGGGTTATACCTGCCGATTTGTGGTTAGCAGTCCTATGCTTACCTTACAGTGCCACCGGGGTGCCTTTCCCAAAAGGAGACTTTGGCAGTTCAGTGCTAGAATTCTCACCTTCATGGAGTTGTAGGATAAGCACTGGACTGCTAAAACAAGGTTGGTAATTCAAGCTGAGCAGCCACTCTTCAGAAACCTCAGAAATACAGGGTCACTATGAGTCGAGACTGACTCGAGGGCACTTAACAAAAACAACAATACCAACATGTGGGAGACCAGGACTCAAGGTCCAACCATCTGTGAATGGAGGCTTGCAGGTTGCTGTGATGCTGATCAGGTTTCAGTAGAGTGTCTAGTCTACAATGCTCTAGGAAGAAAGGCTTGGCAATTTCTTTTTGAAAATTGGTCCATTAAAATCCTAAGGGTCACAGTGGTCTGATCCACACTGATCATGGTGATGGTGCAGAACTGGGCAGTATTTTATTCTGTTATGCATCGCGTAGCTATGAGTTGAGACCAGCTTGACAACAGCTAACAACAAGGTTCCTAAAGAGAAAAGAGATCATTAAAAATCTCAGGACTAAGTGGATAGAGTGACTTAAAAACAATACAGGTGGGCTTCAAAAAGTTTGTGGAAAATTCCATTATCTTTCAATTCTAGATATGTAGTGCTCTGGTGGCATAGTGGTTACAGGTCGGGCTATTAGCCTCAAGGCCATAAGTTCGAAACTACTAGCAGTTCCGCAAGAGAAAGATGAGGTTTTCTGCTTCTTCAAAGATTTATAGCCTCAGAAATCCTATACAGGGTCACTATGAATCAGAACAAACCCCACAGAACACAACCACCACCACTCTCATATATATTCACATATATACACACACACACATATATTGTTGTTGTTAAGTGTCATTGAGTCGTTTCCAACCCACAGCAACCCTGTATGGGGTTTCCAAGGGGTGGCTAGTGAGCTTGAACCACTGACCTTGTGGTTCAAACAACTTTGCAGTC